CATATTTTTAAAGCGTGTTAAAGTCAAACTATGTACAGCATCCACTGAGTGTCATTAAAATAATCTTTATAAGGCTCTATTATTTTTTTATGGATTGCTGATTCATATATTTGACATAATATTGGGTTGAAAGTACAGGTAATGATATGACACCCTCTGGACTGCCACAGTAACACATTTGAGTTGATCAGAATAAAAATCAAGTTTGACTGGCTTTTATATATAGAATGCTAATCAAGACATGGGCAAATGTACAAAAATATTACAGCCAAAACAAGGTCAGCTTGGACGTTCAGTTGCGAGACATAACAAAAAAAAAACGCAGCCAGTGATACATTTTGAAAATAAAAATACAAAATAAATGCAATCAGAGGCACCGACCACGTGCGTTGGAAATAAATAGAACGCGTTGTGGCACAATCTCACCAAAATGGACTATTTTTATGTGTAGTGGAGGAGGTACGAACCTCCGATTGTTAATAAAAGACTTGTTATGGGTAACAAGTGACTGTGACTCACGCAATATAATTGTGATATTTCCCAACGCACTTATATTTAATACATTGACGAAAAACACCACAAGAAAAATGTATATCAGACTTGTAATTACTAGTAACTCAACTCGAACGCAATATTCATCACTGTAAAAGTGGATAAATTCGAACTAGCCAGTTCAGGGCAGGAGACGTCCGGTCGTCTTCATTAATAACTCGCCAATTCACCACAATTGTGGTGGTAAACTGTTTAGGATATTCAATTCATATTCATCCCAACTTATTTGAATATTTTTTCGGAAATTTGAGACATTGTTAAAAATATCCTGTACAGGGATATGTCTGATGTCAACTAATAATACGCAATTATCCAGGCAGTACTAGAAATTATTGCTGATATTAATCATGTTTTGTATTGGGAAGTTGGATACTTGAACAGGTAGTTCCCAGGCGTGTAGTAGACAGCATAATCGTACTGTCACATGTTTTCGTCTTAACCGTCGCAGTCCGCTTCATTGAATGTTTAGCTTGATAATTGATAAACATATATTCAGTGTGAGACTATTGCTTTCAAGTTGTGTTAATACAAAGATGATTCAAACTATTCCCTTCCGTTGCCAACGTATTCAATACTGTGGAATACTTTATTTTCGCTGGAATTAATTTTCACTGAAAAGGCTTTTTGGGTGTTTTGTATTGAATTTATTTTCACTGATTTTTGATTAGTGTAATGTGAAATATAGAAAAAAAAAGTATATTCGCTGGATTTTATTTTCACAGAATCATTCCCTCAGCGAAAATAAATTCCAAGCTAAAATAAATTATTTCACAGTATATGGAAATAGCATGTGTGTGCGTTTGCGTGAGTGAAAGATGCAGGTGAGATTTCTCGTTGCAACGCGTTCTATTTATTTCCTACGCGCGTGGTCAGCGTCTTTGATTGCATTTATTTTGTTCTTTCATTCGCAAATCTATCGCTGGCACCATTTATTTTGTCACGTCTCACAACTGAATGTCCAAGCTGACTTTGTTTTGGCTGTACTGAAAGTGTAGCCACATAATGACAGGTGGTCTTCATACATGCAATATCATTTGCAGACCAACTGGCAGCCATTTTTTTTTCTAAGTACATATGTTTATTTTTGCTTAGATCTTGATGAGGATCCGGATGAATTACATGATTATGCTAATGAGAGACATGACATCATTGCAGAAATGGACAACAAATTGAGATCAATTATAGATTATGCAGACATCACAAACGAGGTGTCGAGATACAACAAAGAATCATTCTCATCTTGGAAAACTAGCATTGGCGATAAATACAGCGACACCATTGCTAATTTGAGATGGTGGAAAGATTGGCAAAAAGATCCAAACGGGAATGAGCAAAGGATAGAAGAATGGTTGAAATCAGTGGAATAGGAATTTCATAATTTGTGTTGAAGTAGTCTGAATTGGATGGATGTAATAGTGTGCTTGATCACATGACCATATCGTAATTACTCTGATGGTGTACAACGACTAGAAGTTTATTGAAAAAAAATTGCTAATAAAAGCAACAAACCATTGGTGGACATAATTGCAAATGCATATCCATCTACATTTGACATCACTCGTAATTAGTATATGACCAGTAAGCATGGTTCTATAAATTTCTCGTCCATTTTTCCACTGAGTTGGTCATGTGATAAAAAGGTAGTCACCTACTATCAGTTATAGAGCCGGTTGGTACAAGAGACATATGGGCTGTATTATCCATTCACTTTCGGTTTGTGGATAATACTAGCCCATATCATACCTAGCATTGTACACCAAATTGAACACATACTGGTACATGTAGTTATGCTGTACAAACTGTGCTAAATACACAAATAATTTCATTTACTCAAACGTCTTGCCTATCATGAGCAAACTTTCACAACATTTTATTTTTTTAATCTTGAAATACATGTACCTGTCTATTTTTTAGGCAAGCAGGGTCAAATTTAATCATAGCAAATTATGCTGAAATTGCCAGTGAGGTTGCTTTGTGAATGTACATTTACAAAATTCTAAATAAGTCTTATTCCAGGAAGAAAACCCATGAGAACTGAAGTCACACATTGCATAACAAATGTTTGAGGACTTTCATAGTACATTCCATTTGAAAATAGGGGCATGGTTCACTTTTCCATTTCAAATGTCTTGCAAAATAGTTTACAGGACTCACCAAAAGTTTTCAAATGTACGAGAATTTTTGCAAAATATACATCTAAGTTGGTTTGTAGCGGTTAGTCAGATAAAGACTATACATACATGTATGTTGTTACCTCACAATCGGAAATGTTGCATGATATTAAAGTTGAAGTGGTTAACTTGATGTGTGGATTCAGTGGAAAGCAGTAGACTATTAAAGATTTGTTGTCTGGTAGTGAACAGCAATGACATCACAGTGTGTAAATACAGACACTGTATACATTATATAATACAGAATATAAATTGCATGGTGTTTTATTTATGATATATGAATTCTTCAATTACATACGTAATATATATATGTAAACCATAAATATGCATGTTTCTATACAGTTGTAATAATAAAGACAAGAACCACACTTGTGTAAACAAGCAATGTATTTTACATGTTTTGTAGCCACATAGGGCTCGTATTGAACAAAATGTGGTACCGCTTTAATAAATATTATGTTATATGAAGCTTTGCATTCAAATTACAACTTCAATGGTTAAGTTAAGATAAGCACCTTTTCAATATGGCGTGTAACAGCATTGAGGCACTGCCTTGACATCCTTTTAAACAAGTGTCAAAATTAACAATCTTTCACGAATTGCTAAATTGTGAAATACTTAATGTAAGGAGCATGAGATGTTCTATAAATTACATCAACAACAATTCTACATGTCTTTTTTAATTTGTTACTATTATACTGCAGGTTAACTAGTAAAAACACTCAAAAGTCAATACATCGTCCTTTCCTTTCCCATCTCCATATCTGGTCGGTTCTGGTCTCTGGTCCACCGATCTCGCCAGTTTTGGATTAACATGTTTGGCCATGCTTCTAATGGCTCCTTTTCTGCATCTGGGTGTTCACCTGTTGGCCACTTCCTGTTGCATTCTGCATTGTCATCATGTTTACCCACTGGTGTGACTGGTTTTTTTAATGGTGTCTTTCCACTGTCGCTGTATTGTCTTATTGAATATGGAGCTGTTACTTTAGTTAGAGATGCTGGAATTGAAAGAAACAGCACTTTGAAATTTTATTGTTTGAGGTTTAATTGTATCATCACGAAATTACACTTTATCAAACTAAATTTTGACACACATGTGCGAACATGACACAATAGGCATCTTTGCAGTTACCGTAGCCTGTCTGTATGTAGATAGATAGATAGATAGATAGATAGATATTTTATTTGACACAAAATTTAGCATGAATGAAAAAAACATACTATAAATCAATGGTCAAGAAAAACACAAATAAAACAATAGACTAAACTAAAGCTTAGATATAAAATCAATAAATTTTCCGAAGCAATTGACAATGAAGCTATCTTTAGTGCCTAGCAAGCACTTGAATTTCTCAAGAGTTGATAACTTGCAAATGCTGTCATCGAAAATTGCTAATTCAGCTTCAAATTTAGTATGAGCTTGTACAATCTGATTATTTTTACATGTGAGTAATACATGAATTTCATCCCCAATAGCCTGTTCATTACATAGAAAACAAAATCTTTGCTCTGGAGGTGTTTTATTATATCTAAGTTTTTCAATTGGCAAAGAGTGAGAAGAAATGGGTAACTTAGTGAAGCTGACTCTGTGTTGCACATTTTTGATTTGTTCTAAATATGGTTCAAATTCAAAATTTTGTTTAAACTTGTTACAAGTACATAGCTTATTCTTTTCTGGTTTAAATACCGTTGGCAACCAGGCTTTATTAGTCCCCGTTCGGACAAAGTCCGAAAAAGGGGACTTATAATTCGGTCTCCGTCCATGCGACTGTGCGTCCGTGCGTCCGTCCGGAGTCATATCTCCCTTGGACCGATTCTGTTCATTCTTTGCATGTGCCTAGTACTTTATGTGGGACATATGCACATGCAGTGGTTTAGCGATTCGATTCAAAATGGCCGACTGGCAGCCATCTTGTTTTTTGAGAATGTTGTATTTTGGACATGCTTTGGCAGTTTTCTTTCAAACTTGGTACATAGATTATACATGTTAGGATACATGTCCATGACGATTTATTTCACAATTGGATCAACGATGGCCGACTGGCAGCCATCTTGTTTTTTGAAAATGTCGTATTTTGGACATGCTTTGTCAGTTTTCGTTCAAATTTAGTACATAGATCATACATGTTAGGATACATGTCCCCGGTCGTTCGTGAGTTCCTGAGTCTGTCCGTCCGTCCGTGTTGTCCGTCCGTCCGTGCATCAGTCTGTCCAGAGTCATATTT